CTGGATCTCACTCTGTAGACCAGGCTGGCCTCAAACTCACAGAGATCCACCTGCCTCTGCCTCCCGAGTGCTGGGATTAAAGGTGTGCGCCACCACCGCTCAGAAAGAAATAATTTTAATTAATTTAAAAGGCAGTGAGCCAATAAGATACCTCCATGGGTGAGGTGCTCAATGGACAAGCCCAACAACCTGAGTTCAATCCCACGTAAAGGCTAAAAGAGAGAAATGGCCCCACAAAATTGTCCTCTGCCCTCCCATGTGCACACATCCACGTGCATCATACACTGGCATGCACATACATACTAATAATAATGATTAATAAAAATAGGGGATAGTGAAATGACTCAGTGGCTAAAAGCATTTACCACACAAGCCTGACAACCTGAGTTCAATCCTGGCAGCCTCATGAAAAACCCCAGCATCTTAACATCAGGATGGGAAGCGGAGACAGGAGGATCTTCCAGAAGCTAGCAGGCCAGATCGTCTAGTGTGTGCAATGTGGTTGAAACAAGAGAGACCCTACTGTAACAACATGGAGACAGAGAACCAACTGCCAGAAGTTGTCCTCTCCTTGTATGTGCTCTGTGGCACACATGCATCCCCTGCCACACAATAATTAATAAATACATAAATGCAAATTTCCAAGCCAGGCTGTGTTGGCGCATGCCTTCAATCCCAAGACTTGGGAGGCAGAGACAGGCAGATCTCTGTGAATTCGAGACCAGCTTAGTCTACAGAGTAAGTTCTAGGACAGCCAAGGCTACACAGAGAAACCCTGTCTCAAAAAAACAACACAAAACAAAAAGTAATTTCCAGGGCCTGTCCAACTGACACTAAATTTTTTAATGTATTATTATTATTACTATTATTATTATTATTATTATTATTATTATTACTTTCCACAACTCTATTCTCCTTTGCTTTTCTTTCCTATAAAAATGTGGTGTAGAGCCGGGCGGTGGTGGCGCACGCCTTTAATCCCAGCACTCGGGAGGCAGAGGCAGGCGGATCTCTATGAGTTTGAGGCCAGCCTGGACTACCAAGTGAGTCCCAGGAAAGGCGCAAAGCTACACAGAGAAACCCTGTCTCGAAAAAAAAAAAGTGGTGTAGAAAAAAAGCTCCCTCCTGGACCACACTCCCATTCATTCACATATTCAAAATCTCTAAAAGGAATCTTCGCGGCTTTCCTGTGTCTATGAAAACAGAGCAGCACTTGGGTGACGTTGAAAAGCCTAGTAACCATAAAGGAACAGGGTGTGAGCGCCCCCTATTGGCATGGTTTGTGTTGCATTCTAAAAAGCAGATACAGGAACACCTACCCCGGGGAAAATGGGAGCGTCTTATTTAGGTGACAAGTCCATTTGGGAACAGAAGCTGGCCCCTGCTGCTGCTTTAGAGTCTCTGTAGCACATTAATCATAGATGGGTTGTTTTTTTTTTAATCCCTGATCTGATCATTCCAATATCCTGGGCATCCCTGAGCCTGTCTCTGATACCTTGTGTGGTCTGCCTTCTAGCCTGCCTTTGTATTCCTGTGGAAAGACAGATCAGGTAAAAATAACTGTCATAAATAATAAAACACCACATTTTTATGGGAAAGGTACAGGCTTTTAATTATTATTTAAATCTAATTTTATTAAATTTATTGTATGAATAATCGCTTCTCGGCCTTTTGGCTAAGATCAAGTGTAAATTTATTGTATAAATAAATTGTCATAAATAAGAGGGAAAATAAAGGCTTTTAATGCTGAGGTGAGGTATAAAGTGTGGAAGAAGAAAAATATTATCTGATGTGTGACTGGGTCTCAGGTTTTGGGGGAAGAGCAGTCTCAAGTAGCCCAGGCTGGCCTGGAGCTGGCTATGTAGCCAAGGCTGACCTTGAACTCCTGATCCTCTGGTCATCACTTCCCCAGCACTGGCATTACAAGCACACCCAGTTTAGGCAGTGCCGGGGATTGAACTCAGGGCCTGTGCATGCTGGGTAAGCCCTCTACCAGCTGAGCTGCATCTCAGGGCCTGAATCTCAGGCTTGGGTGAACCTGTGCCCGGTCCCTGAATTCCACACACACCCCTCAGGCTTTTCTTTCCTCCCCAAGGTGGGACAGGAAGACTCCATGGCTGGCAGTAGGTGTTTCCTTCAGCTGACTAGGACCTGGTAAAATGGTTGTCCTAAGGTCAGGTTCCAGCGGGACTAGAATGCTCTAGCGTGTTAAAAGCTGGTTAATCTTTCCTCCTCCTGTTGGACATAAGAGCAGATTTTTCTCAGCTATTTGCTGTAAGGACATGGTCTGGCTCCTACAGGTAAAACTCACAAAAGTGGGGGAGCCCCCAGAAGGCTGGGTCCCCTCAAATTCTCCCTCAGACTTGGTAAACTGAGTCTCCAGCACTGCTTCCCATGTCTCCATGAGGTCCTGTGTTCACCTGTCTGTCTCTCCACCGCTAGAAACGGCAGTGTGCCTTGTGTCCCCAACTTCTAAGACAGATGGGTCTAAGAAGAGGGGTTCGGTACTTACTAGACCAGACTGCCAAGCAGAGGCCCCAGCTCTGAAGAACACAGCCTCCTGTGGAGGCTGGAGAGCTGTCTGAGGCTCTTTTCTGGTTGTTGGGATACAATATCCTGACAAACGCAACTTAAAGGAGAAAAGGTTAATTCTAGCTCGCATCTCAGGGACTAGTCCATCACGACAGGGAAGGCAAAAGAGCAGAGACTTCGTCACTTCTCATCTGTAGTCAGAATCAGAGAGCGACAAAAGAATGTGTGCGTGTGTGGGCAATGAATGAATGTGTGCGTGTGTGAGCAATGAATGAATGTGTGCGTGTGTGGGCAATGAATGAATGTGGGGGGGCAATGAATGAATGTGTGCGTGTGTGGGCAATGAATGAATGTGTATGTGTGTGTGAGCAATGAATGAATGTGTGCGTGTGTGGGCAATGAATGAATGTGTGCGTGTGTGGGCAATGAATGAATGTGTACGTGTGTGGGCAATGAATGAATGTGTATGTGTGTATGTGACAGAGTAATGAATGAATGTGTGCGTGTGTGAGCAATGAATGAATGTGTGCGTGTGTGGGCAATGAGTGAATGTGGAGGGGGGCAATGAATGAATGTGTATGTGTGTGTGAGCAATGAATGAATGTGTGCATGTGTGGGCAATGAGTGAATGTGGGGGGGGGGCAGCAATGAATGAATGTGTGCGTGTGTGAGCAATGAATGAATATGTGCGTGTGTGGGCAATGAATGAATGTGTGCGTGTGTGGGCAATGAATGAATGTGTATGTGTGTGTGAGCAATGAATGAATGTGTGCATGTGTGTGTGAGAGAGAGAGCAATGAATGAATATGTGCATGTGTGAACAATGAATGAATGTGTGCATATGTGCCAGGGCTCAGCAGGACCCCTTTTTACACAGCACCAGATCTTCTGCCTAGGGAATGGTGCTACCCACAGTGGATGGGTCTCCCTGGTTCAGATAATCCCTTACAGACATTCTTGGCGGCCCATCCTCCAGGTCATTTCGAGCTCATCAAGGTGACAATTAGCACTAGTTATCACAAGGCCTCCCACCTTCACTCTGACCTCTTGCACTTAGTCCTAAGGAGATCTCCAGGACCACAGGGACAGGGCCCAGGTGAGGAGAGAGACACGAACCAACAACCTGCCCATGGGTCTTTTCCATCTCCAGCTTCTATATTCCTTGAGCCTGGGGTAAGTGGCCCTTGTGTGCTATGGTCCAGTGAAGCCAGACTACCCATCTCCATCTCTAGCAGCTTGGAAGCCTGACCTTCCCTGTACTCTCCCTTTCCAACCTGCTCCAAGACCCCCTGAGTCCTGCCTGCTCCTCCCAGCATCCTCAGCTATGATTCCCATCAGCCTCTCCTACCATTCTTGGCCTGACTCCTCCTGGGAATAGCTTAGTTCACCCAGTCTGAGTCCTGGTCCCCTGTGTGGAACACTGGACATGAGGAACCTTGACTCTTACGTGACAGGAACCCATTAGCAGCACACAAGCAAGAATCTCCAGAATACCCTAACAGGGGATCTCCCAACATGTTATTCTTTCAAAGAGCCCTGGCATAAGCAGCTCCAGACAGGAAGAGCACCAGGTACAGGAGCCTGACTGGCAGGAAG